TTGAAGGGATGTTTCCAGACAGTTCTGGCGGCCAGTCTGAAATTCTTTCAGCTAGAAGCATCTGCCAAAAAAACCGATGCCAGTAGCAACAAAAACTGCGGGGAACTCTGCAAAAAACGCACGGACAGCCCGTGCGTTGGCCAGTTATTTATTATGCACATCAGTGATAGACATGCACACAGGATCTTAACACTGACCGAACGACGAACACAGAAATTTAAAATATTTACTAACATAAGCTTGCTGGGCATTAAGTGTGTTTTTGTTAAACGTACTAGGGATACTGGTTTTTTTCTCCTTTTTTGAGCGAAAATCATTAGAAATACCGTTCTTTTTTTTGAGCCATTTCCCTAAATTTGCTGCTTTTTTCTTTCCCAGTACTTCTTGTTCCTCTCATTTTCATTTTCCTTTATCCATTCATGCCAAGCATCTTTACCACGTCCCGTTCGTTACACATTGCTTTACCGCAAGCACGCCGAAAATGAACTCTGGCAGCATGTTAAATGAAAACGTGCTCACTTATTTTCTGCTGATTTGCTGGTATATAGGGCTACTGTCTGTGCATTAGTTTCAAGCAAGTGTGCCGCTTAAGTAAATAGTCGTGTAGTCATTTTTTCAGATTATATTGAGCCCATTTTTATGCGTTTTGCTGTGCAGCGCTACAGCCAGCAAAAATGCATATTGTCGAGAGGCAGTCTGTGTGTGTGTGTGTGTGTGTGTATGCTCAGAAGCGAGTGCATTTTGTCACCCACTTTCATCTCAGTTACCAGGAAAGCTGGGAGGCTGAAACTTTGGGTATATGTTTCTACCCCGTGTGTGATCCTTCCGTTTCAAGATGTTCCCTCACACGCGCCTAGAGCCCACTTACGGGCCTTTCAAAAAAATATGTTGGCGGGGAACAATTTCGCGAACCAGGCAAGCTAGAAAGCTGGAATTTTGCAGGGATATTATCTATGCACGTGTGAGCTAAAGATTTTAAACTCAGCTGCCGAGTACTCCAACCACAGCCTCAAGCAGCTCCTCAACCTAAAAACCGTTAAGAAATCCATCGCAATCCAGACCCGAACCCCAGTCGTATATGTAAATGAACACTAATTAATTTGCATACATGGATTTTTAGACAAACGACCGCTCGAGCAATACTTCCACTTTTTAGTGAATTTGCATTTTTTCGAAAAATTTGCATTTGTCATTTTTTCACAAAGCGAGCATTTACCAAAAGAACGGCCAGACTACATGCAAAAAAACCGGTAATCATGCACCTGGATGTCCGTGCGTGTCTATAATGCACCACCTTCATCCCAACCGACGCCCTTCCTCCTGTATACCGGATGGGGCCAAAGCACGGCCAATATGAGCCTAAGTGTTAGGCTACAGCGTAGGGGTCATACCTGCTAACAGCGATCTGCGAGTTAGCGATGGTTCACTCCTACATCACGTTGAATATCGGGCTTAACAGTAACTTCTTCAAAAAGATTCTTTATGTTTGCCTTCTAAAGGCCTACAGGAATACGAATGTACAACAACACGTTTGTAATAAAACAGCGCACGTTTTTTTCATGTAAATCCAGAGCTCCCCCAGATCCTCGTTTCCAGATGAATTTGCTAGCAACATGAAATACGGTACAGCCTCCAAATGGAAGTACAATGAATCGATTGTGCTGTGGTACCAATCATTTCCCACACACCCACTCGCAGCCGTCGTACACACCAATTGCAGCTAGTGTGCACATCACACGCAGTCCCCCTTCAAACCACGCTTAGTCCCTTATACACGCATGGTGCCCTGTACCGCTCACAGATGCCGCAAAGCACCATCCCCCCCCCCACCCC